TATTTGATCAGAAATATTAAAAACAGTCTTTCATTATCATTGATGTGTGTGTGTGTGTGTGTAGTGTTGTGCTGTTGCTCCTCCTGATGATCTGAGGATGAGGATGAACACTTTACTGGAGTCTCTCCAACCTCTTCCTCCCTCGGACGCCTCCAACAGACACATGCTGTATCCTTCACACACACACACACACACACACACACACATTCCTCTGACCCGTGTGTGTCCTTAACACAAGTGTCAGTCGGGTTGGACGGGTCTCTGTCTGTCTGTCGGACCTCAAACCCGGTGCTCAGGACTTCTGATACACACACACACACACACACACCTCTGCACAGTTGTACTTGTTTTCTAGTGAAGATCTCCGACTGAAATATGTTGACAATCGGTTACTCATTTTATCATTTATGTTGTAATGGTTATTGAATAATATTCATTATTATTATTATTAAAAATAACAACACGTTTTACATTTTGTGAGTTGTAGCAAAAATGTATTTTTGTTGAAAATATAATAAATAATTTAATATTTTTGTTGTTGTCTGTGTCACGTGTTGATAAATGAAGAATCCGCGCCTATCAGAAGCTATCGATGATCGATCGTGATGACGCGAGGCTGACGTCAGCGCGCGTGCGGTGCGTCGCTCTAATCGCTCCGTGCGGAAATCGCGTGGCAGCAGCCGAGTGGAGGACGCGCGCGGCATGTGAATGACCCGATCGCACGCGACGCTCGCATCGCAACACGAGCGTTTGAATCGGCGGAGGATCGACGCGTTTTCCCCGATGATCGCGCGCGCTTCGCGTTGAAGGTGAAGGTGAGTGCGATCCGCATCACGCACGCGTTCACCGCTGCAACATCTGCACTGAAAATGACGCGACGCGATGTAGGGATGCGAATATACTGTGATTTGTACATTATATTACACATTTAATCCCAGTTCAGATGCTAATGGTGGAATCAAATACCATATAATACCACGATCGTGCTGTTTAAATATAGCAGGGTAAATTAATATGCTAATAATTCAGTACTGCGGTATTTCCATGTCGATTATGATGCTGGATTTATTTCTATGATATTAGACACTGGTGAACACGAATAACCAGCTGGACTGGCGAACCAATCCTGCTGTTAGGAGGGGTTACATTATCTGACTGACTGATAAATAATCGGTATTAATAATAGAGGAATAATATTCATGATTATCATATGTGTTGTATGAAAGTGATTGATTAATAAGTAGTGTGGTTTGAGTGCTGTGACTCAGGACAGGAAGTAGAACTGAAGTGGGTTTAGCTCTGAGCAAACGCATGTTAATATATTAATAACACATGAAATATTAAACAGTCAGTCTGAAGTGGATCGTCTACAACAAACACACACTTCAGTTCAGACAGTTTGAACCGTGTGTGTATCAGATAACATAATCATCAGAACGAGATTGATCTGGTATAATCACACACACACACACACACAGGGATTTAGCCTTGAAGCCTCCAGTCTAGTAATGTATGAAAGAAAGGGCTAACCCAGAAATGGGTCATTCCTGGTGCCAGTGTGGCGGAGATGATGTTCTGGGGATCAACTACTTTGGACCCCATTGACCTCCATTATATGGACAAAGATGAGGTGCACCGATGTATCGGCTGATTTATTAATATTATCAATTCACGACCATCGGCTAAAGCGTGAGGACTGCTAACCAACCATTAAAAGCTCTGCTTGTATCTTGTGTGTGTGTTTATGTGGGCCTTCTGAGTGTTAAATGGATCCGATCCATTAGAAAGTATTTGATGATGTAGCAATAAATTAAGCAGTTCTGCTAATGAACTCTGCTCATTTAAAACATGATCCAACTGTCCGCTTTAACGACGAAACTTTGAATAAGAGAGAAAGTGACGAAT